AGTTACTTGAGTATAAATGATCTGAATCCAAAGAGTAACCCAAGAGTAGAGTAAATTTGATGTTTTAGAACACTGCACTCAGACCCCACATCCACCAAACCCATTTCCTAGACAGATGCATCAACCTGCAAAAAGGAACCACGTTTGAACTTTGCTCTTCTATTTGAACTAAAACCCATGCTGCTGCCCTATATAAAAAACAAAACACATTTAGCCGCTGATGTTATATACATCTATGTTCACTATTTGAAACAAACAGTTAAAAGCAGATTTCTCGCTCTTGTGCATGCACATGCAAATAATGGGGATCAGGTAAATTCTGTTCCCTCATCCCCAAAATGAGAAGACTGAATTGGAGCATGGTTCTCAAAATGTAACATGCTCACAGATCATCTGGACATCTTGTTAAAATGCAGACTCTGGTGGAACAGGTTTGGGGTGGAGCCCAAGATTCTGCATTACTTACAGGCTCCCAGGTGCTGCTGGTGCCGCTGGTCCTCAGACCACACGTTGAAGGCCCTTCCCACTTTCAGCATCTTAACATCTCTGTGACTGGCATTCTTGGCGCACTAGTCCCTGAGCCTCTTACACCCATTAGAGAGATAATGTCCGCATCATATTGGCTCACACACCCAATTCTATGCCTACATTCCACTTTCCAAATCTATTCCGGGTCAAGGCTGGGATCCACATCCATGAAGTATTCCATAACAGCTGACCTTAAACAACACGGATTTGAATTGTGCCGATCCACTTACTAGTATACTCAGATTTTTTTTTCAATTGACCTGCTCAGTTCAATTGACCTTTGCAGTTCAAAGCTGGGTTGCTCAAGGGTGAACCAACTGGCCATTGGGAATCTGTGATCGTGGAGAGATGACTTAAATTATAGGAGATTTTCGACACTGGTGGTGGTCAGCACCTCTCATCCTTTATTTGTTCAAGGGTCAACTGTAGTTTTTCTCCCCACTAGCCATCTTATTCTGAAGTCCTCTAGCACCTAGAGATTTGTCCTTCTGCCTTGTATTGGTCACTAATTTAGTTAGACTTTGTTAAATCTAACTAATTATAGGCTAATAAATCCATGTCCCTTCATTCTTTTCTGTCCCCAGGAATACTTTCAAATGGTCAGCTCCTTTTCAATTTTTAATTCTCAGTGCACATGTCACTCCTTGGTGACACCGTCTTTGAATACCCAACCTAAATTACTCCCTTTTGCTGCCCCCTCTGACCAGTGAAAGTGCCCTCTTTTAATTTCTTCATATTGCTGATCAAATTTTGACATTTTCTTGCTTATTATCTGCCCCCTCAAGAGAGAGGGACTTTGTTTACACTGTTCACTACTCTCTCTCCAGTGCCTAGAATGCTAACTATAACATAGTAGATGCTCAATAAATATTTGTTGAGTGAATAAATGCAAGAATCAAAGAGATGGGCATACAAGCAGTGCTTAAGAAAATGCTTATTAGATGAATCAGAGACCTATTACCCAAGCACTAATTGTGGAATCTTTTGTTTCTATATTTTTGAAAACTAGTTCCTTGTCTGTGTGTTTCTTCTTTCCTGCTGGGTACTCACAGCGGCTCACATCACAATTAATTCTGAAAGGAGATCAGACATGTGAGTTTCTATTAGTTCTCAGTAGGACAAGTTATCTGTCTGCAGTGCCTGTAGATTGTAAGAAATAATAGGAGTGACCTAAGTATGGACATTTAGGATATGTTCTGGAAACACGGAGCAAATTTAGCTGTGTGTCTCTTCTTGGCTCTTCCATTGATGGAGCCCTCTCTGTAAATCCCTGTCCAAGCTCAGCCAGATCTGCTTTCAGGCTGCCCAGGGACCCTAGTGTCTCCTCACAGACCTCGATTATTTATGAGGCACACAATCTAGCTTTGATGGTGTGCATGGAAAATGGTAGAAAAATGAAGGTTATGGGGAAAACTGGATGTACAAAAACAAACCTGCTTATTAGAGAAAACAACCACTGGTAGGTCTCTAATTGACAGACTGGTGATTTGTAATACTAAGAAGGAATGAGGCTGAAGGCAGAGGTGAAGGCTGTCATTGCTACATGCCATTTATCTCGAGCAGAGGTAGAAGTCCCTCTCTGAGGAAGGCTCTTTAGACGTTTCATCATTTCCTTTCCCCTGTGGTAGAAGCATTGGCCTTGAACTCTTTGACACCTTTGAGAAACACAAGGAAAAGGCTTGATCATGACCATGACACTAGCATGAGTTGACTGCTAATTTCCAAACTGAGGTACTTGAAAATGATGCTGAGTGCTTTCTATGAAATTCTCAATCTTCCAGTCTGAAGAAGATCCTCTCGATTTTTAATTTTTTTAGGGGGGGGGTTGTTTGTTTGTTTGTTTGTTTTTTGCAAACTTCTAATTTGACTGGAGAGTGACATGGTATTGAAATATGGATTCTCCAGCAAACTGAAATGAAAAGGCTTTGGCCTAATTGTAAAACGTGTGACGTGGCATACGGCATGTGGACAGACACAGCTCAATCAGAGCAGCTGACCCTGCAACCTCATTTCAGAAAGGACAAGTGCAGCCAGCCATGGTCCCACATAGATCCTGGAGAGTGTGAACAGAACGGGAGAGTGAGGGTAACAAGCTGGGAAAAGATGTTAGGACTAAGGATGACAGCTACCTTTTATGAGCTACATCACATGAACTAAACTCTTTTATTCCTCAGAGCAATGCTATGAGGTAGGTATCAGTGTCATTATTCCATTACAGACGGGGACACTAAGGCAGGTGAGCTTAAGTCATTTATTTACTTAAATTAAGTGAAGGGTACAAACTGGTTCCAGAACCCACTACGCTAAACTACTTCTGTTTCTGCAGCCGGGACCATCTGAGAGCAGGGCATATGGAGAGGGAGGAGTTGCAGAGCTGCTGACATAATGTCCCTTTCCCACTGCACGCTCTTGGAGGTCAAGAGGGGCCTGAGTGGGCCCCTAGCAGCCACCTTCTCGTCCTGCACAGCCCTGGGGAACACAGTCGGAGAGCCAGACAAAGTGATGAATGATCAGGGCAAGTACATGGGTTATGAATGAATTATGAAACTGATAAATTACATAAGGATTGTTTTTAAGAAAGAGCAAATGAAAGGTTTCAGGTCAGAGTTTAATCCAACTAAACTGGCTAATCTTTTCCCTTTATTTTTTTTTTTCCCCAAGGCCTTCATTATTCTCCTGCGACGACATGTTCAGAATGCTGGGCTGAGCTCCGAGTTCCTGAGACACTAGTGAATTGTCATGATTGGGTCCTCAGCAGGATGAAAATGGGTGTCCCATAACCTCAGATACCACCTAAACAGAACAGCCAGTGAAACTAGAAGGAAAATAACTCCAGGAAGGCCAAAAGCATCATTGTTCCTTTGAAAAGAACTGTGTATAACTTGGAACCCCCTGGGAATGTATGTTGATACTATGTTATTACAGAGGGCATAAAGGACTCCACTGGAAACACACGTGATCTATCTGATTTTCTCTCATACCCTGAGCTGAAGACAAAGGAAATTACTGAAGGCGCTAACACTTGGGTTAAATAGAACAGTTTAAAGTTCCAAAGAGCTCAGTTTGGAAGGAAGCCTTTGATTAATAAAGCATAAATCTTATTGTAGTCATCAACATAAGAGAAAAAAATAGCTCTGTCCCAAAGCTTGTTTGTCTAGAAAAGAATTCTTCTCCAAATCCCTCCAATGGGTTTCAGATGTGCAAATAATGGCTATAATTTATGCAGAAGTGTTAAACCATCAGTGGCTTAATCTACCTAAAATCCTAATGAAGTTCTGCAGTATTATTCCAGTTTATACAGCTTAGCAAACAGAGGCCCACCAAGGACAGAATTTGCCAACCATAGCTCCTGACAGCCAGCTGTGTGATGAGATGAGCTCTCAGATCCCATCTTTGTATAAAACACCAGAATATTATTGGGATTCAAGAAGTCTGGAAGCAGCTCTGAGCAAAAAACAACAAAAAAAAACCCAAACAAACAAACAAAATACACACAACACAAACAAAAAACAACTTTAAAAATGACAATTAGACCCAGTTGTTTCTCCTTTGCAGTGATTCTTCTAAAAGGAAACAGTCCAATGTGGGATTTAAAACTCCCTTTCCTGCAGCTTGCTTTCTGGCCTTCTGCATACGAGCAGGAACAGGCAGGTGGAAGGAGGTGGGTCCTGAACCCTCTGATCCTCATCCAGATTCCTGACTGGCTTGGGAAAGGTGACAGAGATCACTTTCAAACAGGAGGGATAGGGGTTCCTTTGGGGAAACATTTCTCCTCCATCCATCCCGTCACCCCAACACCTCTATCACCACCTCCTATATTATTGTCCACTTTTATCTCTTTCAACCTGAAATGTTTGTGTTCTTATTGCTCCTTTTGAAAAGTGTACGCTTTAGCCTTAAACACAGGTGAATTCTGTGTACTTGGAGGAAGTACCTTATAACTGGTACTGTGAGCATAAAGCCCTCCTCCTGTGGGGTTCTGTGGCCCCTTAAACAGCAAAACTCAGAACATACAACAGACAGCCCCATGCGCACATACACCAAAATATTTATGTCTGGAACCCCAACTTCAGACAGCACTTGCTGCTCTTCTGTCGCTCTCTTCCTGAATCCTGGCTGCCTCGTCCCAGTAGATGATTGAAATCTTTCTTACTTTCTCCATAACTACATGGGGAAATTCCACTTGGAAATTCTCTTTTCCGTCATTTTTCACTTTATATTTGAGAGGCCAGGGAGGAGCCAGGAAAGCACCTCTCTCTTCTCCTCTCTCCAAATGACGTAGGGAGTGTGGATACCCTCCCCACCCCCACATGCCCTCTCTGATTCTAACCCTGATCCTTGCAGAATGAAGCTTTTCCTTTTCATGCTTGCTGCTAGGAGCAGGAGGGGCCGCCCCGGGAAGAGCCCGGAACAGATTCTAATCTCCGAGGCGCCCCAGCTGCTGGCTCCCAGGGAGAGGCCGAGGTCGGGGAGGGCGCTCACAAAGCCCGGCTTCCCTGAAGCTCGAGGACCGGAGACGGGCAGCCCCGAGTCCCGGGCTGCGCCCCGCTCTGCGGGGACGGCGCCACTCCGGACCCGAGTTTTTGCTGGGGGACAACTTACTGTGTTCGCTGAGTGTCCACACCGCAAACTCCCAAATGGGAGAGGGGACAGCAAAGGTTCGTCCGTATCCTAGAGTAGACGCAACAAAAGAGAGAAGAAGGGAGGGAGGAGACGGGGACCACCCCTCTGTCACCCAGAGCGTCCCTCGGGTGCGGATGGGAAGACCCTCCCGGGGGGCGGCCCTTCCTTCGGGCCCCCTCCGGCCCGCTGCTCAGACAGGTAGTTGGAAGGAAAGGAACAAAGCTCCCAGGGGAGGCGGGCGGCGGCC